AGTCAACTCCATAAGTTTGAGTGAACCCTTTTGCTACAAGTCTAGCCTTATATCTCTCAATTTAGCTGGTTTCTTGTCTTTAGGTAGATTAACAATGACCCAGGTTTTTTTGTTTTCTAGAGCTGAAATTTATTCTTCAACTGCATTATTCCACTCAAGACTTTGTAATGCCTCCTCTATGGTCTCTGGAATGTAAATATGATCAACCTGAGCTGTGAAAGTCTTAAAACCAGACATTAGTTTCCCATAAGCAACAAATTTACTAATAGGACGAGTTGTACATCGTCTAACTCCATTTCTTTGAGCAATTGGTAACTTACTAGTATCAATCACCACATACAACTTACTTTGGTCACTATCTTCTTTGTTTGTCGATGGATTTAAACTCTGTTCTGGCTCTTGACAATGCATTGAATGCGGTGTGGAAGATAGGGCTTGTTTGGGTCGTCTTTTGTAGATGAGAAAATCGGTAGATGGTGTAGGTGTTTCATAAGAGTCGATGAGATTAATGGATTGGTTTTCATTATCAGTTGTGGTGGTGTTAGGAGGTTGTGGAGTGGTAATTTTTTCAGTAGAATATGGATTGATGGGTAACTCAATAATAATCGTAAAAATTGAAATTCAGACTCATTCTCCCCCCTGGATTTCGATTTTTGAGAAGATCATTTTATGTTATTGAAAAGTGACATCCATATATGTGAAGAACCTTTTTGTAGAAGAGTAGCAATGACAACCTTTTTGATGGGATTAATAACCAACAAAGACACACCGAATTGCCCGAGGTTCAAGTTTAGATTTATGAGGATTGTGGTCATGGACAAAGGCAGTACAACCAAAGAAGAGAATAGGAACATAAGAGGTAAAATGTTTGAAGTGAAGGAATTTAGTGGAAAGATATATCGTGGACACTTAAAGGTAAGAATCTTACTAGGCAAACGATTGATTAGAAAAGTAGATGTTAAGAGAGCCTCACCCCAAAGGTATTTCTGAACATTAAAAGAAAAAATCAGTGCTCGGGTTACCTCAAGAAGATGACAATTTTTATGTTCAGAGACCCCATTTTGTTATGGAGTATCGACACATGAAGTGAGGTGGACTATTCCGTTTTCTTGGAAGAAGGATCCCAATGACTTAGAGAGGTATTCCCCACCATTATAAGATTTAAGGATGACAATGGAACTTTGGAATTGTGTTTAAACCATTTTGTGGAATCGTTTGAAGATGATATAAGACTCAGATTTGTCCTTTATAAGAAAGATCCAAGTGGTACGAGAGTGGTCGTCAATAAAAGTAATAAACTAATGAATTCCATGTAAAATTGTAACCCGTGAAGGTCCCCAAATATCGTTATAATTAAGAAAAAAGGTTTAAGCGAGCGAGAAGGAGGAGATAAGAACTCCAAATGTGTTTTGCAAGAGAGCAAATGTCACAAGAAAATGATGCATGATTTTTATTGATAAATAATTTGGAAAACAATTTTGCAAGATAAGAAAAACTTGGTGACCTAACCTAAAATGTCATAATACAATGTCGGCAGTCGCATCTGTTGGAGAAATTGAAACAAAAGAAGAGATAAATGATACATGTGAGTTGTTGGGAACGAGAGTATAAGGAGGAGCGCCAAGGATGTAGAGTCCACCACGAAGCTTAGCATTGCCAGTCACTATCCCCGAGTTCAAATCCTAAAATTCACAATAATCACGAGTAAAATGAGAAGTACAACCTAAATCGGTAGATAATTTTATAATCAAAAGAAGATTGCAAGTCAAACTTGGAACAAATAGAACATTGGATAGAGTAATGTGGTTATTAATGCGAATTGAGCCACTGCTCTTAATCGGTGATAGGGAGCCATCAGCAGTACGAACACTGCATGAGATACCATTTTTGTGAAATGTGGAAAATAAACTGAAGTTGTCCGTCATATGATCACTTGCTCCAAAATCAACAATCCAAGAGACACACTTTGGTGAAGGGGAGAAGAAGGTAAAAGGAGAACTACCTTCACTAACAGTGCATACAGACTTGGACGAAGAAGGATATGCCATGACTATCGAGGAATTGAGAGCTTGGGATATGTAGCAAACTAGCAGGGAACACTGCTATAAGTGACAATCAGAGATTTGAAGAGATCAGAGCTAGGATGAGTATCGAATGGGCTGTGCGGCGAGGAGACAGTGCTGGCCGGATAGTTACCAACAGCGGCAAAATATGTACCAAACAGCGGAACATGAAGGGTTGCTGCTATGATGAGGGTAGCACTGGACCGACAACACGACAAGAGCAGTACAGTGAGGAAAGCAGCGCTGCAACAGAAGCGGCACTGCTGTGGTTGCGCAACAAGGAAGACGACACTGATGTGAAGAGGACGGTGCTGCAAAGGATTTCACAATTGGAAGGACGACAGTGTACAGAAGAACACTGCTGGTTGAAAGGATGACGAATGGTGGCGGCAGCAAGGCTGGGATCGACACCGGGGACTGATACCCTGTAGAAACAGAGTTTTCTGGCTCTGGGTCTACACCACCAGGTAAATGATGGATTTTCTTTGAAGATTTGTAGTTTCCATGACTTCTACTATATACATATGACTAAGTTAGAATCCACTGGTGTGCGTGCATCATTCTAATTATTTTTATCAAATTTGGCACTGCTGTATTTGTCACAATTGTGAGGGAGTTTCTTATGCATTTGACACTTCTCTGACACAGAGAAGGTGCAAGGGTGATTTGGGGCTATGTGGATAGAATACTCGGACAACCATCACTTATCAGAGAATCTTCCAGATGAAAGTATCCTTGGTCCAACATGTTTACACGGTCTACGAGCACTCTATCTCGTAGTGACGATAAGGTATCACCTTCAAAAACTGGAAGTGGCTTTGGTAATGTGACTTTACATCCTTCTCTTCAAAAAAGAATTCAGCAGCTAGCTGGTGCAACTGCCAATACAAAAGCCCACCAAGCACCATTTAGGAACATGCTTTTCTATGGCCCTCCAGGAACAGGAAAATTGATGGCAGCATGAGAACTGGCTAGTAAATCTGTATGAGCTCTTATACCTTCGTTTTTCCATTTATTGCTAGCAACTTATATACCTTCTGTTTTGCAGAAGTTCATTTCTTCATTAAAAAAGAATGCTAAATTTTATCTGAAGAAATGCATACATATGTTATTTGGCTATATTTTAGATTTAGGTTGGTCAGAATGTTAAGAGTTTGGGTGTATGTTCAATTGTATGTACAATCATACAAGCACTGAAACATGTCATTTGTTAATTTCAACTTATAAGCATCTATGGGTAATTATGGAAATGAAAGAGGGGGAGTTTATATATATATATATATCTAAGACAATGCCTGATTTGTTGGTTTCGTATGCTTGAATGCTGCATTACAATAATTCATGACAAATGTTTAAAATCTGTTTTTTTTATTTATTTCATTTCATTCTCATATATTTTTGTATTAATCATCAGGGGCTAGATTATGCATTGATGACGGGTGGAGATGTTGCTCCACTTGGAGCACAGGCGGTTACCACTTACCAAGATACACCAGTTATTTGACTGGGCAAAGAAGTCTAAGAGGGGCTTGTTCCTGTTCATCGATGAAGAGGATGCATTTTTGTGCGAGTAAGTGAAACCATGTAATTCCTAGTGCCAAATGATTTAAAGTTGGGCAAATATATACATGTAGGATTTGATCAGGATGTTATGTTGCGTATATTTTTACCTTTCCTTTTGTTGACCAGGTATCAGTAACTTGTAGATTTGTTGTCTCACGTCTAACCATGATGTCTCAAGGAGCTTAAGTTTGCGTATAACCCGCTAATTTCTTTTGCACGATGGAAAAATAAACGATTTATTCTAAATAATTATCCTTGACAGGAATTAGCATGTACTAACAATTTCCAGAATCCAGAATTAGAATTGTTATGATTGATTATTTGGAAGGCCTAGCTTTGAATGTTGATTTTATGAGGCCCAACTCTTTTGCAGACGGAACAAACCTACATGAGCGAAGCTGAAAGAAGTGCACTCAATGCCCTTTCTTTGCCGCACAGGTGATCAGTCCAAGGACATAGTCCTTGCTCTTGCTACAAATCGTCCTGGTGATCTCGATTCAGCTGTGGCTGATCGTATTGATGAAGTATTGGAATTCCCTTTGCCTGGGAAGACGATCGCTTCAAACTAGTAAAGCACTATCTAGACAAGTACATAGCTCAGGCTGGCTCGAGAAAACCTGGTGTGCTTCAGAATATCCTCAAAAAGCAGCAGCAGCAGCAGATCGAGATCAAGGGACTGACTGATGATATCTTAAGAGAAGCTGCAGCTAAAACCGAAGGATTTTCTGGAAGGGAAATAGCCAAACTGATGGCTAGTGTTAAAGCGGCTGTTTATGGAAGTGAGCATTGTGTGTTTGACCCAACCCTATTTCGTGAAGTGGTGGATTATGAGGTTGCAGAACATCAACAAAGAAGAAAACTGGCTGCTGCCGATGCAGGTCAGGTTTGATTTATTTTCAAGTCCCGTTCGTTGAATTCACATTGAGGTGGCAAATTTTGGTCATCGCTGCTATTTTAACTGATTAAATGGTCCGGTTTTTTTAGTTTAGGGCATAACGTTGTCATTAATCTCTTTATTCGATGACGGTTGGTACTTGTGAAAGAGAATATACATTTACTCGAGGCAAATAAGAAAATAAATTTACTCTACATACATGGGAGAGATTTTTGTTGGAGTACAAACTGGATTTTCTCGTGTCAAAAATTGCCCAGTCTAGAAAAAAAGCCGTAAATTATACTAACAATTAAAACTTAAAATATTTGCAAGCTACGTAAAATTTAGATTTCACAATCTTGTCTATTTTAATCGTAGTTTTATGTAACTGAAATTTAGATGTAAGTTATGGATATGAGTACTCGACACATATATGCATCTCCCTATGATAGGAGATGAGTAAGAAAATAACTCAAGCTGGGAAACTAAAGATATTGACATAGTTGTACGAATGGAAAATTAGACCACATGGGTTCGAATTTACTTTGGAAATATCTTCTCAAATGAGAACTTCAAACACTTATTATGTGAAAAAGAAGGGGAAAAACATTACATTGATTTGGGTTCAACAAATTTGTTACCAACAGCTTTAACGGAGAAAAGTGCACATAAATGCTGCAAAATAACAAATATCACAACAGCCCGAGAAAAACATAACAGCAGTTCTAGTGATGATGCTTCTGAACGTAGCGCAGACCACAATACTTGCATACAGCGGGCTCTTTCAAGTCAAGGCATATGAATTCAATTGGGTGTCCCAATGCAGGATTATTGTCTAAAACCAACAAACCCCAGGGTAACTTGTGTATCAGCAAAAATATTCGTGCAACTTTATGTACAGATCTTAACCAATTTGCTCAATTTTTATAAAATATGATTTTAGGTTACTGTGCCAGTACTTAATTTATCTGCTAATCGGTTTGTTTACCAAAAAAGTGAAGGAAAATAAGGATAAGGACTAACCTCCCTCACAAGCAACAATCCGGCCTTCAACCTTGATGGGAGGGACTTCATTGATCAACTCCATAGGAGATTTCTTGCTCGTATCCTGCAAATTTGGGGTAAAAGAAGCCTAGTTTCTTCATTTCATAGCCTCCTTGTATTTCAGGACGCAAAGGCCAATAACTTAATGATCACGTTATTTACAAGACGCATACTGTGTTATTGGACTTGACTTTACCCTAACGTACATCATTTTTCTTAGGCACTTATAATATAAGGTAACCACGTTGAGAGTTGAGACGCACATATGCTAACACCGTATCTCCATGTCTATGTAATAAGGCATTCATGCACAGGGATAAAGAAACAAGCAGTAAAATCAAGGCTGCTCAATAATTGAAATCCTTCTCCAAAATCAAAGGATAAAGTCAGTGGGAAACAAAGACCACATATGTAAAACTAGAAAACATCTGCAAAGCACTCTACCTTGTTTATAAACATGTTATCAAAGCTTAAAGGCCTTGTTTATAAACATGTTATCAAAGCTTAAACGCCTATTTAGATTGTTTCAAGAGTTGATATTGCATCTTCAATAATTCATAATACCAAACCGGACGTAGAACACCTGACAAGCAACCACAGGTAGACCAGAAAAAATTGAAAATTTTCAAGTAAATAAGGGTACCGAACCTTCAATATTCTCAATTTACAGACTTAAGCACCAAAAACATAAGGACCTAATAACAAGACATACAATAATTCCCACATTTTAGTAAAACATTAAGGAAAAAGGGGGAAAACTTATTTAAGCTTGTTAGCAGAAATCAACGGAATCGAACATATTATCAAGTCGAGAACCGAATAACTGAATTCAGATTCCACAAAAATGTTTAAAAAAACAGAGAAATATCGATCGATGTTATTCTGATCATCATTTCTTTATAATAATTTCAAGGAAAAGCTATAAAGGACCTGAACAACATCAATATTCCACAAAATTTCAGCAGAAAACGAAACGAAAAAGATAAAATTATGAGATTAAGTACCTGCATCCATTTCGCAGTGTGATTGCTAACTTGGGTGCTAACAAGGCTGAAATTGCGAGTCGTAGATCCCAAATACGATGATCTGATTAGGGTTTTCAGAACACCCGAATACGCCATTTTTTTAAGGGGGAAAAAGAACTCTTTTCCTCGGTGATGGAATTCGAAGGTCGAACGGCGAGATTCGATAGATATTAGTTAAAGAGCCTTCACGCGAAGATTATTGGGCTCAATCCTTGTGGATTGATGCTTGGTCCATTTTGAACACCCAAAATTGTAAAGGGTAAAGAACACCAAATGATCATTTTTTAGAATTATAAAATAAATATTTAATTTAATTTATTGAATTATTATAAAAAAATATTTTGAGCATAAATTTAGGCTAAATGTTTTTTGAGTATTTTGTTCTATAACATTTTGCTTTAGGCTAAAAAAGTTGTGTAGACAAAAAGCGTTAGTTAATAAACGGTTAGTACTACAAAAATATGAACCTTACCCTAAAATGTAACTTTAAGAGTCAAATACTCTAAAAAAAATTTCAAAATGACTATTTAGTCAAACATTAAAGATCTTTTCATATTAAAATAAATCGTTGAGAGTTAAAATATTAAAAAAATAGGGATACAAATAACGGTTTTGATAAACATTAAGGGACTAATTTTGGCATTTATCCAAAATCATAAACTAATGATTTTTTTATTAAAATAAAATTTAAAATTCAAAATCTAAAATCTAAAATCTAAATGAAAAAAATAAAATTGAATTGAATTATCATAAATGGTTAAAAAAATTTAAAATCAAATTTAGAAACAAATAAAGGAAATAATTTAAAGAGAAAAAAATAATGAATTCACATAATATTATTGAAATAGTTTTTTAAAAAAATTATTAAATCGACGTTGATTTTGTTTTACAAGAAACATAAAAGAAATAGATAAAAAGTAAAAAATAAAAATAATGATAAAATCATTATAATATAAATAGTGGGGTGGCTACATGGGGTAGGGGAGGAGAATTGAAATCCAAGTGACGAGAATGATCTCTCCATTTTCCACATAAACAAACAAAAGTGCTTATGTCTGTTCTTATGTCATCACCAAGTCCAATCATACACTAGCTTTTTCATGTAAATACTGTTTACACTATACTAGACTCGACGGGCTTGGTTAGGTTGTTGGGGGTCATGTATAAATTCTTAAAGAGCCCCCTATTTTTTAGATATATTCGATTTCGGGACAATAATAGTAGCGTTTTTTTATAAACGCCGCAATAGATCCATCTATAGTAGCATTTTTTCAATAAAAAACTACAACAATAGTGTCATTTTTTTGAAAAACACCGCAATAAGTCCATCTATAGTGACGTTTATTGGAAAAACGCCACTATAGATATACTTATTTGGGGCCCCAATTTTTTGGGGGCCCTGCGCGGTCGCCCATCTCGCACCGCCCCAGCCACGACACTGACCAGACTTACATACCAAGCTTATGGTTTAGTTTTGAACAGTTTCCATGGCTAGTGAATTAATGGAGTAGCAACAGCTTCACTTTGTGGTGTTTCTCTTCATGGCTCAAGGCCATATGATCCCCCATGATCGACATAGCTAGGATGCTGGCACATCGAGGCGTCGTCATAACCATCGTTACAATGACTCGTAACGCCAATAGATTTCGGTAATCCTTGATCGTGATGTGGAATCGAGGTTCTCGATCTGTCTAGTCGAGTTCTCGTTTTCGTGCGCCAAAATTGGATTGCCGGAAGGGTGCGAAAGCTTTGACATGCTACCTTCCTTTAGCTTAGCCTTGAATTTCTTCCAAGCAGCCAAGACGCTAGATAAGCCGGTCCAAAAACTGTTCCTTGAGCTAACCCCATGACCGAGCTGCTTCGTATCCGATGTCTTGTTCACGTACACACTCGGTCTCGCCGACCAATTTCGGGTGCCCAAGATTGTGTTCCATGGAGTATATTGTTTCATCCTTCATTGTCTCCATTGTTTACGGGTGTCCAACGTTCTCGATCACGTAAACTCGGAGACAGAGTACTTCATTCTGCCTAACATGCCCGACAAAGTTTTTTTTTTGAAAATAACTAGGATATTTCATTTATCGAAAGTCGTATCTACAAAGGCCTTGTCAATTACAGAATAAAAAAATACAATCAAGAATATCGAAAATAAATGATCGCTTAGTGATAGCCTGATAAACAAAACCATTAACAAGTAGAGCAACGACATATATAAACTGAACACACCAATGGCTTCGAGCATCAAAACATAGAGGAGAAAAACTTGAAGAAGAACACTACATCAAAAGTGCTCTGTAGCGGCGTTTGGAGAGTAAACGCCACAATATTTTGAAATATAGCGGAGTTTATAATCCAAACGCCACCAAATGATAAATAGCAGCGTTTTTACAAAAAATGCCGCAATAGAGTGGTAATTTAGCGGTGTTTATGGCATAAACGCTGGTATAGAGTTATTTTTAGTGGTGTTTTATAAAAAAACGCCGCAAAAGAGTAGCCATTTAGCGGCGTTTGTATAAAAACGCCGTTATTGAGTATTAATGGAGCGTCATTTTTTTATAAACGCCGCAATATGGTTATTTTTAGTGGCGTTTTATGTACAAACGCTGCAATATAATGGACATATAGTGGCGTTTTAACAACAAACGCCGCAATAGAGAAGAAAGTTTGTGGCGTTTTACGGAAATCGCCAAAATATAACGGTAATATAGCGGCTCTTATACCTCAAACGCCGCAATTAATAATACTTTCACGTCATTTTTTTAGACAAACGCAATAATAGTGTTAATCAATAGTGGCGTTTTTTTATAAACGCCGCAAAAGTATATGATTTAGTGGCGCTTTTTTTAAATGCCGCAAAATGTTAAATATATGGTCCTTATTTTTCTCTACCTGAACCCTAAAATCATTTTAACTCTTATTCCCTCAAACATTCTTCTCTGGTACAACAACAGGCTGAGCACGATTCCAAGCAACGTTGTCTTTTGAATGTCCTAACGACCAAATCGGCCCTCTAATCGACGAACTATAACACAATTGCACGGTTTGATCCCTCTTTTCATTAATGATATTTTTTATTTTGTTTTTCTGGGTATTCTAAAAATGGGGAAAACCCTGAAAGCTAACGTATTGGAGAAAAAAAGGAGCAGGTATTGCCTTGAGTAAGAGAAATTATCGTAGGAATGTCTACGTGGTGTCTTTGCTCTGACGATGGATCAAATTATTGTTGGGAGGCTATCAGTCTGATCTCGCCGTCGAAACTCGATGATGACCCGAAAGGAAATTCCTATTGCTCCATACCCTTACATGGCCGATCTCCTACTTGAAGGTAATAATCTATAAATCTTTAAGCCGCTATATATTGTTTTTCTATGGTCACTAAAATTTTATAGATCGTACGCATGTAGGATCTTCGAAGCTTATTGAGAACGATGATAGAGGAGTGGATAAATACTCGATGTTTAGAACCGAATTTGGTAACTCTGTTGCGTTGAAAGAATCTTCAATTGCAAAAGCATTATCTATCCTCAATGAAGACGATGTTGCCTCTACTGTTACTCAAAGTAAACATTTATATCATCTACTTAAATTTATTTTAATGTTTGATTCATTTCCCAAGCCACCTCCAATCAAGTTTCATAGTGTAGGTGGAAGTTCGTTATCTGTTTCAAGTGAAGCACTGAAGCGCGCAAAGAGTATTCTTGGTGAACCGGAGGTAGGGGATTTATTTGGTGAAATGGATGAACAATTTCTCCATATAGAGTTTACAGGGAGGAAAAACTTAACGATGCGTCGTCAAACAAGGAAAACAACTTTCCTACGTCCTTTCCCCACGAAGGAGCAGAACTAAATATATTCTAGTGAACAATATGATGAAGACTGTTTATGCATAACTTTAATGTTTCTAAATTTTAATGTATTTTGTTGTTAAGTATATTTATGCATAACTTATGGCTTAATTGAAATGTATGGATGTTGGTAATTAGGTTAAACTACAAGATAGTAAATTTATGTTATGTAGAGCATAAATTAAATATTTAAAAAATGTTAATCTTATATAAATCAATATATTTAGCAGCGTTTGTATCAAGAAATGCCGCTTTAGGTTCATATATAGTTGCATTTTTACAACAAACGCCGCAATAGGTTCAACCATACATTTAATTTAATGTTTATCAATTTTAATTTATTTTGTTGTTAGGTTTTATTCTGCATAACTTGTGGGTTAATTAAAATGTATGGTTGTTGTTAAATAGATAAAGCTACATATATCAGTAAATTTAGCTGATGTAGAGTAGAAATTAAATATGTAAAATCATTTATTTTTATCTAAATAAAGGTAATTAGTGGCGTTTATACCTCAAACACCACTAACTTTAGATATATGGCGTTTTTTACACAAACGCCTTGGGTACAAGCACACCGATATGTTCTTTTCCATCACTATTCAATAGATCCCTTTCGCACGTAAGTCTTTCGGACCTAATCCTAATGAAATCTCTTTATCTTTTATATTTATCAATTTTTAACGACATAATATTCTTATAGTGAGTTTAAAGAAGTATTGAGATCTCGAGCACGCTCCCGAAGATTAAATCAGCGAGAGCCACATAAGTTATTCATAGAAACTTTTCATGAATGGTTATGCCAGACGGTAAGCAACTAAATCTTACGGAACACTTATAAATTATATACGTCTTGCTTTTTATATCGACGTCAATGCAAATTAATTCACCATTCATGTGTAATAGGTTTGGAGTGGGAGAGAAGTTAGTAAAGAAGTTAAATGGCTTTCTCAAGGTCCGAATAGAATAGTTAAAAGATATAATTCCTTCCTCATTAATGGGTTCAGGTTCCACACGAAATCTCGTGAAAGATTAAGAAGGACACAAAATTGTGGAGTTGTAGTTACTTCGTCAACTACAAGTTATGCTACTGTAAGGGACAATAGTCCGTAGGAGGGAGAGGTCGATTATTATGGAAATCTTACAGACATTATTGAGTTAGATTATTATGGAAAACGAAAGGTTGTGATGTTTCGGTGTGACTAGGTTGATGTAAACAGATGTATAAAAAGAGATAAATTCGGGTTTACAATGGTAAATTTCTCTCAATTAATTCACACGGGTCAACGTTTGATGGATGAACCA